GCTCCGTGTCCACTTGTCCAATCGCTGTCAATTTATCAATTGTTATCGATCAATAGAAGGCTCATAGATTTAACTGGAGAAATCTTTATATGTGACTTTGACAAATTCGACTATATAATGCATTGTAATATTATTTCCTTCTATAAATATTTTTGTGCGATTTCCAATTTTGTGCAGTATTACAAAGGGCAGCGGGCACAGCTCGTCTTCCGCTGTCGCTCGCCACTCTCACTGCGTCTCTTTGAATATAATAAACACACAATGGATCGATAACTAAAGATTCAATAAATATCGATTGTGCGCTTGAAATGGAAATAAATATTGTGAATTTAAGCAACATGGCGCCCAATTACTGGTAATGGGGTATTGCCGGTGTTATGTGAACAATGCGCTATTCTTTAAATATATATTTGGCTCAGTATTCTTAAATATAATATACGTAGACATATATATATATATATATATCAATACAGTTTAATTTGTTTAACAACTTGTGCGGTAAGAATCACTTACAAAGCTTTCGTTTCAAGAACGTAAATCGCTTTATGCACAAACACAACAGTTGCTCTTGCACGTGCTACGCTCGTACGAAAAAACGGCTTCACAGGACGCCGACAAGCGACGGCGTACACTTACTGAGCTTTAAAATTCTAAAAATTGAGAATAATCTACAGGTACATTCTTCCCGCATAGTATCAAAACTTTAGTAAATATCGAAATAAAAATATTGATGATATTATTCAATACTATCTTTGTAGTTAAATTTTTTGACATTGACTATGAAACTATGATATGATAGCCATTAGACATTAGTAAAGGTCCGGGATAGGCCGCTGGCATGTATATTTGCAGTGATGATGTGTTGTGTGGCAGGTGGGCATGATGTGTGCGATGGTGGTGTCGGAGCAGGTGCCGGGCGCGCGCAACACGCGGGCATACTGCGCGGCGCGAGTACTGCTGCGCGTGTTCGGTGTGGGCAGCGTCTGCATTGCGGTCACTATGGCGCTCGAGCGATACCTCGCGCTCACAAGGCCCTTCCTCTACCAGAAGGTACGACACCTTTTAATATAATACAATACTTGCACAGATTAACTGTTATCTCTTGAACTTTTGTTTCTGAGTATTTAAGACTTGTAGGGTAACTACGGCAGGAAATATTCGCCTTTTAGAGGACATTGTTTGCGTGCTCCGCTCCCCACCGTACAAGGATCTCGGCTCACTGTAGAAGGCAACTATAGCAATCAGCGCACATTGTCCTCGGCTGCTGTTTGCAACGACGACTTATTCACGATCTAGATTGTCTAAATCGTGCAAATAGAGCGTAACAACACTTTTTTGCACTTATAGCATTGAACAGCGTTGAACATCATAATGCGATTTTTCGCATTATGATAATATCTGTTCAGATTTAGAGATTTTATATATAATGCGTTTAGTATTTTTACTAAAGTTGGACGGATAATGATGAATTTACATCAGCAGTATAAAACAATAGAAGGTATTCTTATAGGCGTAACCGAATTGGTATACGTACTTAAATTCAATAGATCGTAAATCGCACGTTTGCGTCCGCACTCCTGTATGAGCGGGCGCGGCGAGTGCGTCGTCTCATCGTAATGTGATTTGTGTGATTGCTATCGAACTGTTTATAAAAATATTGCAGGTCGAGTCGATCATGTTCGCGTATTTTTACGATGTTGTTTTTATTCTATTACATTGCAGAAAGTTAAAAATAGTTGAGTAGGAGTAACCCGGTTATCCCGCTGATCTCGGCCACCGATACATTATGATGACGTTTTAATGTAGCGCCGCACTTCACTGTTTTCCTCTATAGGGTGAGACCACCTTGAGGAATACATCCGATATTAAACATGCCAAATAAAAATTCTCATTTGGTTATTAGTTACCAGGTACAGGCACATAATGTTAATAAATATAAATAAGCGTCATCTTCAGAAACAAGAAATGCGAAACACCAAGCTACTAGTATTAATTCTTCTCTTGAATGTCCCCACATAACGACGCCCCAGATCTAGACTTGTGAACGAACCAAAGCTCACAGAATACAGAGCAGTCATTTGAACTTTATCGGCATGATTGTGCCGCGGACAAGCGCGCAGTGTGCTCGCGGCGCACAGCCTCGAGTTCTAACCTACGTCTTGTTAACAGCCTCCCATTGTAAGCACTCGTTGCTTGTCACTGCTTTGATTTCAATGAATAGCTCACTTTAATTAACCGATGAAACAAACGGCTCTATACAGGACATATTAACATAAAAGATTGCAGTATTTCAGTACCAAATTATATAACATGAATATAACTTTGTTGTCGTAGCTTAATATAATAAGAAAAATCTATGATTACAAGAATAACAATCGCCTTGTCTTTGTGTGGTACTATCTATGATGACGGGAGGCTGCGGGGCTTGTATCCTGAGAGCGCGACTCCGGCCGTCGGTCGTTGTGTTGTGCAATTATGTACTATTACCTGTCACACAGAGTACACGGAGATAATATATACAGAGATAAACGAGCAATCATGGCTTATGTAAATATTGCAGATCAATAGCTATAATTATTATTATTGATTTATTATGCCTCCAGGAATTTGTATTGAAACTGCATCACATCAACAACTTTGTGCTTTGTACTTGGTAATAAATATCAATGCGGGGAGGAGGGGAAACGGATTATTCCCTGCAAACAACGGAAACTGCAACCATAACATCCCGCTGAAATATTTTAACATTGTTCAATTTAGTTTTCATTATTATAAGTAATACTTATTAATCAGTTTCCGGTAACGTAGTCACGACCGACCTTTGTAGCGGTTACGCTGGATTATAACTATCTTACAAAAACTATATTAAATCATTGTTCCAAAATGTTGTGGAGGTCAGCCGACTGACACGTGACCTCTGTCTCGCAAAGCATCTCGAAATGAAACAATCGATTTGAGGCTATCGTTCTTTGAAAAACATTCACACTAATATTGAATTATACTTTAAAATCAGATGATTTGTAGAAAAAATTAATAACAGCATAACTCACTCCAGCAACTCGGATTACCATAGAGACCAATTAAACAATTAAGAACAAAACAAATCGAATGTCATTGGAATCGGATTCGTCGCAAATGATAGCATAGACTTGTATGGAGGTGTCTCACTGTGACACTACGAAGTGTACATCCGGCGCGGCGTCCGCTGCGCCTGCGCATGCACTCGTGCCACTTCCCCGCCACACATCCTTTTAATCCAGCTGCGAAGCGCTCTGTTTACGAACGCTAATACTCTTTCTTAAAATTTTCATCTACTTCTTTCAAATAACAAATAAATCGAAGATAAAATTGAAATCGGTAATATACTCGTACAGTGTGTACATATCCTTACTGTGTGTTTTACCTGAGCACTTTGTTTGTGCAGCAAGTGACGTACTACGTGATCCGCACGGCGCTGCTGGTGTCGTGGGCGTGGGCGGCGGCCCTCACGTGCGCGCCAGTACTGGGCCTCGGTCTTTACTACGACGAGGCCAACCGCTGCTGCACGCGCTACCGCAACGCCATCACCCCCGTCGACTTTGCCTACGCCGTCTTCTACGTCGCCTTCGGTGAGTTGCGACGACATGCGACCTCTACGTCTATCTTGCTAGAGGACGGACGTTGCATTATGGTGTTTGCAGGCACGCTGCTGTGTGCGGTGCTGGTGTACTGCAACCTGGCGGTGATCCGCGCGCTATACGCCATCACGCTGGGTGGTGGCACAGTGCGGCGTGTGTCGCGCACCAGCTGTAGGCGGCAGGCTGGTCGGCCTCCAGGCGCGCCGCCCGCGCCCCACAACGCCGCCACAGCAGAAGAGGTCGCCTTTAGCCGCCTCATGGCCACGCTCTCCGTGCTCTTTATGATCTGCTGGCTGCCGCAGATGGTACGTCATCCCTTTATCGTAAAACAATTCTAAAATTTTTTACTATAGAGATTACCTATTATACAATAATGCTCTACCCAATACTTGATTTTTTATTCTTGGTTAGTTTACCATAGCGGGTCATCGTAATATTAATAATCATGTAAGTATTTTACTTTTTAAATAGCTCTTCGGGTCCGGCGCCGCCGTCACCTTCCGCCAGCCGCTTAACGTATAAAGTAGATAGACGTAATTAAACCGATTCCAGCAGTATGCCCGACGCGTACACGAGTTATTGCCGTACTTATAGAGTCGCAGGCGATGGAATAATAAGTTAAGGAACATTCCATTATTGATTGGCGAACCGTCAATGAGGTGTCGCGGCTCTCGGGGCCCGGCGTCGTGAGCGGGGCGGAGGACGCGCACATCTGCGGTAGATCGCTATCTGCCATTAAGGTGTCCCTCGACGCTTTGTATTCCGAGGACGTCGCAACAGTGTTCGCACGGCGCGGCCTTGCTGTACACGCGCCGAGCGCCGAGCGCCGACCACAACGCAATCATAATCATCTTAACTAAATAATTAGTGTTGACACTAGGAAGTTATTGCTATTATACATTTGTAACTACAAGAGATTTGGTTATCAAAAGATAAATGACCCGCTGTTGAGCACCTGCGTACCGCTTCTTCACAACTCTCGGGTTCACAGTTCACAACAATCAGGCAACAAAAGTAACCTGTTTATACCTAGGCACGATATTAAAACAAGGGGCTCGCGGGAGCAAAGTTCAACTTTTCATAATTGCAAATACATCTTAATGATCTTATTTGTTAACATTTCAATGATATGCTTTTAAATGTGACGTCAAGTGGTATCAAGTAGAGCTAGTTGCAGGTCTGGACTGTTATAGGCGCGGCACTAGTCGGCTTTGATGCATGCCACGCTCTCAGCTCTTGTTTAGATATAGTTAGTATGTTTGTGTAACCGCGAGTACACGCGGAGTATCACCACATCGGAACGTGTCAACTGAGATCACTCCGACGTCTAAGTAGTAGAGTTCATCAGGATGCGCCGCAGGTGGCAGCGCACCAACGCACACACCGCGTCGAACACTACTCCGCGGCTCACCACCCGTGCACTCGGACCTGCGCTTTGTATGAACATCCAGCGTACATAGAGCCGCGGGCGCACAATTAGCATGCGGCACGCGCGCTGTCGCGAAAATATTTCATTGTTTCAATAAATGGCATTCGAATTAAAAATTGAATGAACAGCAAACACGACGACTCATCGGCCGGTATTTATAGAACAAATGGCCGCGAATACTGAACTGTTAGCAGTCAGTGTCGCCTCGACAACAAACTACTTGATTTGTTTAACGAAGAAAAATAATTAAAGAAATATAACAAAGCAGAAAAACATATCCAAACATCTGCGCAAACTCAGCGTTGAGGAGAGCCTTTGAAGGCGGCAACTATCATAGAATGCATTCAATATATTGATATGAGATACACGATGTGGCGACGTTACCATGTGAAGCAGTGAGCGCGCAGATTACTCCCGAGGGGGATATCGTTGATAACATATTGTATTTCATTGTATGATTTCCATACGCGAAAGTAAACATGACATGTTACACATAGGAGGTCAGTGTTATTTAGGTGGCGGTGGTGTTTTCTGACCCCACAGGCAGACGTCATCAGTGACGTCACGGGCGACACAGAGTGCCGCTGCTGGTCCTCGCTACACACACTTCAAACTGACCTCACTTGTTGTATTATATGACATTTACATTGAGGACAATAAGTTTATGCAAAATTTAATCTTTTTATTCTTCATTCCTGTTTATACAATTAACTTAAAAATTATAAATGCTAAGGAATATATCATTTCCAAAAAAATGTACGAGACAGCATTGTGAGCATGTTCTGAAAGTAATAATATTCGTGCATTGTGTTCGTTTTTTCCAATCCAATATAAAATAATTTGAAAATACAAGGCCTCGTTGTAAACGCTTGTCTTAATTGTGTAGCGTCTCTACATCGGTCTATTACTTTTATATCATAAAGTTAATTAAATTGCCACAATACGACTGTTGTTAGTATACACTGCGAAGGTAAGGAGTAGTTTCGCGTGGGCCGGTTCATGGAATTGCCCAATTATGAGGGTTCTCGAGTAATTGGTGTCGTGCTGCGCGCTAATTGATTGTCACCCCCTGCCGCCCTCTGCTGTCCCCTGCCGCCCCCTACCTCCACCGCACCTACGCAGCCTCGCTCCTTCTATATTTTAGTGTCAATCATCAAGACTATTGCATGCACATATTCATGAAATTGCCGTCCCCGCTGCTATAGAATAAAGTGATATATCGCCCACATACGGAATTTGAGGTTCCTTTGGGTGTCCGATCATAAAGAGTCATAGAGAGATGTATGTGTGCAGGTGACGTCCGCGCTGTACCTGGCGTTGGGGCCGACGGCGTGGAGCCGGCTGGCCTCGCTGGGCGCGCTTAGCGACGTTCTCATGCTGCTCAATTACGTGCTGGATCCCGTACTGTACGTGCTCATGCGCCAGCGCCGCCTCCTTTCCTGGCCGCTCTGCTTC